AGCCTTGGGGGAATAGGTGATAGGGGGCAGTGAGGTGAGAAGAGGGGGTAGGGGAAATTTGGGACAGGCAGGGCTGCAGCAGCCAGACAAAGAGGCGACTTTCTCCAGCTCCAGGGCTGTGGCTGCCGGGGAGAGAACCCCGCTCCTTCCCAGCCCCAGCTCAGGGGCTGCTGTGGCAGGGGAGAGAGAGACATCCCCCCTCCTTCCCAGCCCGGTGGGGGAGAGACTACTGATATTAAAATATGAGTTGTGTGCTTTTATTTGTAGAACAAAAAAAGGTTAATTATTATTAAGTTATTTTTATATACCACTTTTATCTGAAGTGCTTTACAATAGTTAGCAATGGTATAAATAACATTTGGAAAGATCATTAAGTGGTCTGCCAAGACCCTCAGCAATTTTCAAGTGGTCCATGAAAAAAAAATTGAGAACCACTGTGCTAGTCATTTGCTGCTCTCTGTTGATACATCCTAATTAGCTGGTTATTTGCTCAGTAGCTGATGGATTTACTTGTCTGTCATGGTTTATACTTGGCAGTATTGCATAAAGTTCTGCTGCTGACCTTGAATCTTTTATATGGACTATGTTAAATCAGCACCGTGACTTTTTTTTAAATCCTTCCTTAACTCTAAATAAGATCTGCATATTAAAACAATTTCACTCCCCTCCACCATTGAAAAGCAAAAAAATCAACTTCTACCAGGTAAGGACAAATGTTTATACAGGCCTTTGAAAATGAAGTATTATAGGTACCCTCAAGTAGCTTGGATGATCAGAAAGCAGCATTGCACAGGTTAATCAACGTACTTCCCTTCTATCCTAGCTCTAATGTTTCAAAGGGCTTCATGATGGATGGAGAGTCTCAGGACATACAAGAGGAAAGAAACTGGAAAAAAGGGTCCTAATCTGTCAGAAGCACTTTGAGGATAAAGAAACAAGTGAAAAAGAGAAAGTTATTACATAGCAGCAAAGGAACGTCTGGCCTATACTAAAAGAGAGAGCTTAGAGGCCTAACCATCAGGTGTGAAATACTTGCTTCTTCTGGAGTCACATGCTCATGTTTCGGTAGTGATGTTTTAGCCCTTTATCCTGAAAGTAAATACCATAAGTACTATGCAGTTAGTCAAAACACTGAACTAGTGGAAGTCACTGGCAAGCATCTGGAAGCAGAGCTTGTTGAAATACTAAACTAGCTTTAGATAGCAGCAGCCTCTTCTGCAGGTGCAGGGAGAATATTTTTCTTTACTTCGTTTTATTCAGTTAGTTCAGTTAAATGACTAGTTCATTCAAAATTAAACATATTGGGAAATAAGAAAGCAGCAGTTTGTTTTCTTCTTCCAATCTATACATAAAAACTAGGTGAGAGAGGATGAAATTTACTAGATCTGAAGGATAGGACCACCAGAAACAACACATTCAATTCACAAGTATTGCTTTTGCTTAAAAAAAGAGTTTTAAATACATAAGGAAACAAGTTTATCAAAACATGTTTTGTATCTTGCATATGTAAAGTAGGTTTAACTAATATAAACAATTTTAAAATGCTGTTTGTGCATTTACTTGAATTCCAGTTTCCATCCAAAGAGTGATACAAATCATCACTAAAAATGTATTCTCTAGTAAATCAGAAATGTATCATTCATCATTTTCTAACGTATAAACAAATGTAAAAATTAAAAATCTGAGTAAATGTATGTTCGCTATATAATTGCTTCAATGAATATATATAGATATAGTGTATCTTCCTGGTTAGGAAAAAAAGTATCAAGTTTAGTATAAAGGCTACATTTAGGGCATAGCAACATTTTAATGGTTACCAACCAATCAGCTTCTTTTTAGGCAAATAACTAAAAAGTACAAATGTAAACCCAATTATTTAAGCCACTGATTTAAGTCAGCCAATCTCCACTGGATGCTAACGAGCCTACACTGCATTTTTCTAGAATAAAGTCTTGTCCTGGTGTCAAGGTACAATGTGTCTCAAGCACACATTTTCGTACAGCATCCTGTGTGTCTTCTGACAGCTGTACTCCACAGTGGAAGTATCTCCAGTTCTGTGTTATATGTATAATTTGTAAAATAGTTAAGAATGAAAAATCCTGTATTAATTACAACATCTTGAACTGGGATTTCTCTTTTATTGGGATGCCTCCCAAGAACATTATTTTGGCACAATTATAGTGAAGGATAGGTGACTACTTCTTAAAAAAAGAACAGCATTAACATGTACACTGCTTAATGGGGATTCATTTAACCACTACCAAGTAGTTTGGTGGTGTATCATCATGTGTGGGAATTCTAATTTCTGACTTTTTGATACACACATTTCCAAATAAATATCAAGCATTTTCTTGGATACTTAGGAATCAGCAGTCTTCAGTCAAGGACAGCAATGGTGAGGCATCATCAGGATAAACTTAACATGCATTAACAAAACTTTAGGATTGAGAAGTCAAGCACTCAAGTCACAAATGCAAAGTTTAAACCTTAAGTCAGCAAGCTGACACCTCTTCATTCAGTTTATTGTCTTTTTAATCACATTTGTTGATAGTTCTTTAATGTAAAAATTTCAAGAACTACTGGATATGCGCTTATTATATATCAAAATAAATGAAAATCTTATTAGAACATTTGGACTTACTAGAAGAATTAATTTCAGAGGTTTGTGATTTTAACAAATCCATACCATACCATACACAAAGACTGGGGACTAGTAATGAACTCCACAAAGTACATTATAACTGGTCAGTAACCTAAAAAAGGGGGGAGCGTTTAATTCACTGGGCATTTTGTAAAATTGTTTGAAACTGTTTTAATGAAACTTCAGATTAAGGTTTATAATCAGCTAAGTTATAAATACCGTGGGGGTTTTTGTTTTGTTAAACACTCATATGGGGGGAAGGGGAGGCAAGAGGGATGTCTCCTGTTTTAATGTTCCAAAATTGCTATAGGCAAAGAACAAAAGATTGAAAATTAAGGCCCTGATCCTACAAACACTTAAGCAATTTGTAATTTTGCATAGATACACTGTACACTGACTTCACTGGGACTCCTCAGGCTTAAACATATGCACCCACATGTTTGCTGAATTAGGGGATAAAATTTTGTTTTTTATTAAATACTTGCCTAAATGGCATACAGTCTTTGGCATCTTCTACACTAGGAAAATAGGCTGGTATAACTATGTCACTCTGGGGTGTGAAAAATCCACACCCCGAGCGATGCAGTTACACTGACCTAACCCCGGTGCAGACAGTGCTAGGTTGATGGGGAGATGGAGCATCTAGGCTGATGGGAGAAGCCCTCCAGTTGGCACAGGTAGTGTTTTCAACTGAAGCACAAGTGTGGCTGAGAGTATGTGTGAGACAGAATGTGTGTGTGTGTGCATGTGCACACACGCCAAAATTTTCAAGGTTAGAAGCCTAAAGTTAGACATTTAAATATGGCTGTAGGAGCCTTAGGTTGGGATTTTCAGAATCACCTACATGATTTAGGAGCGCAAGTCCCACTGACATCAAACTGCAAATCCTGCTGAAGTCTGGTTAAAGCATGTTTCTGACCTGTGGAAATTCAATACTGGAACCTGGTGTTGGCTACAAATTTATCCTGGCTATTTGCTTATCAATTTTGTATCTGAGTTTGTGTTTTCTCACAGAAAGACTACCAGTAAGGCCCTAGACTTACTTTTTTTCCAGCCTTGATGAGCAATTATAGTGTGAAATTTCTAAGAAAAAAATCTCTATGTAAAATCTGACACAATGAGAAATTAAAGAAACAAGTAAACATGTTAGCATTTTAAGATTACAAAATGGAAAGAAAGTAAACTACCAGCAACATGTGTTTTAAATAAAAAATTGATTTAAAAAAGTCAAGAGTAAAATAAAAATTACCATGCAAATGCAAGGAATGCAAATGAAAACTGGAGAAGGATAAATGCTTTTTCAGGAATTTCTACAACATGTTGCTTTAGATCAGGGAAACTCAAGTATACTGAGATTTCTAGTCACATTATTCCCACAGTATTATGATATTTACCCTTAAATTAGAATTATTTTCTTTGTATGCTGCATAAGCCTTCTGATTTTATCTATATATTTTAGTCCACAAATCAAGCTTTGTGAAAATGAACCATTTTAAAGAATTTGTTTTGGGAGAAACCTTCAAACAAATGATATTCACAGTAAAGATAAATTTGTATCCAGTCACGGAAATAGATAAACAACATCATACAAGCCAAAACACACTTACTTGGATAATCTCATCCACATGACATGTAAGTGAATAATCAAATATTTCTGAACAGTGGCCTCTTGCAAAAAAAAGCAAAAAATTATTGAGGTTTTTTTCTGAATTTGTGGCAATAAGACTTCAAAGTGCTCCTAAAATGGAGCAAGCAAAAGTCACATAAGAACAGCCATACTGGGTCAGACCAGAGGTCCGTCTAATCCAGTATTCTGTCTTCCAACAGTGGCCAATGCCAGATGTTTCAGAGGGAATGAACAGAGCAGGTAATCAAGTGATCCATCCCTTTTGCCCATTCCCAGCTTCTGGCAAACAAAGGGTAGGGACACCAACCCTGCCCATCATGGCTAATAGCCATTGATGGACCTTTCTTTTTTGAACCGTGTTATAGTCTTGGCCTTCACAACACCCTCTGCCAAAGAGTTCCACAGGTTGACTGTGCATTGTGTGAATAAATACTTCCTTTTGTTTGTTTCAAACCTGCTGCCTACTAATTTCATTTGGTGATCCCTAGTTCTTAAATAACAATTCCTTATTTACTTTCTCCACACCAGTCATGATTTTAAAGACCTCTATCACATCCCACCCTCATTATATCTTTTCCAAGCTGGAAAGTGCCAGTCTTACTAATACATGTCTAATTCATACACCGGGATTCTAATTATTGCTTCCCATAAAAAGCTGAACAGGAACATTTTTCCACTAAACAGTCTTGATGACATACACATTGTGACCTGAATTCTTTGGGTGGGGAATAAAAAGGGGAGAGCATTAAAAGTAGTAATTACTGTTTGAAACTATAGCCTGTCAAAGCAAGCATCAAAACACAAAAGGCAGAAACACTGTTTCAGCTCGAATGCCTTAATGCAACTGTGTCATGAAGCACTTCATCAGAAAACCCTGAAGTACAGCTAACTCTTTTCCCCTCTGTACAGCAGCACAATTTCACTGTTACAGGAGTAAAATGTGCCTGGCCTGACAATGAAACAGCAGAGCCATCACATTGTTATGCAACGCACTGTCTGCAAGGGTGGTTTGTAGTTCCTTCTTTATTCAGCAAGTGCCAAGTGCATGTTTAATCAATGTCACAGCTCACTACAGTATGCAACCAAAGCCACTGTCTATCCACTTCTCAGAGCTGACTGGCTGCTAAGTTATGCAATGCTTTGAAGAATATCTTGGAATTATTTTCAGAGGCTTTGAGTGCAGGTCTATGACAGTCCGAACACTACTGCCAATAAAACAGATATTTTTCATCCTTTTTCGAAGTCTGGACTAAAATTACACAGTGTAATTGAATATACAGTTTACTGAATTTGGAGTTCTTGCGTGTCAACGTGAAAAAGCGTCTTCAGAGGGCTGGTGAGAAGCAGAGCAGATTAAAGGCTCATTTTTGAAGTGAAAGTCAAGAAAACTACATATACCTAAACAAAAGCAGGAGCTTATCTAATTTTTTTTTAATTAAACCCAAATGGCATGTATTACTTGCTTGTGAATAAAATATATATCATCTAAGGAAAAGCTCAAATTTAATTAAGATAATAATGTACAGTTTGTGTCAATATTGAAAGGGTTGTTTGTTTGTTTGTTTTAAACTATGTTTAGCTTCAATGGATTACAGAAAGATAAAGCCAGTCAGTATTTTTGGAAGATCTTGTAATACCATCACTTCCACAGCTTTAACTTCTTTATCAAAAAATTGTTCATGTTCATATAGGATCTCTCTCTCTCTCTCTTTAAATGAAAAGAGCAGCCCTCCATGAAGATAAAAGGTTGGTTTGTCACTGAATCGAGGACTAAAAAGCATGTCTGATGACATTTTATTCCTGATGCAATGTAGGGTAAGGAACATTTTCTTTTTTACTGTTATCTAAGCAATGTTATGTTATGGGTTGATGACTTAATTTAATTTGATTCTCAGCAGCAATGTGTTTATCTTTAATGAATAAAAACATCTTCAGAGGTAAATGCAATTATACTCTAAAATGTTATTCTGAATCTTAAGTAAGTAAATAAGGGTCATTTGGACTACTAGAAAGATTAAATCCACATTTTAGTAAGAGCAGAAATTCTTCATCAAGAATGCTAAAACATAGCAGATAAACAGCATCCAGTACTTAATCCAAAAAGGAAAGTAATCTTTTAGAAAAATGCTTGAAGAAGGTACTTGTTTGCACATACATTAAGAACATAAACAGAACAACACAGCGGGGGTTACCGGTGCCTTATATTTTACAACAAAAAATGGAAAGATTGTACGTTATCATATGTAAGAAATCCTCAAATTCTTAATATTTTACAACATTATCAAAAGTATGATCTCTGGGCATAGTATAGTAAGAATATCATCTTTGAAAACTGAATCTGCATTTTTTGTTCAATATTTACTGCTGCACAAATGGCCAAAAGCTGGTAGATTAAAAAATGCCTTACCTGTAACTGCTATTTGTACGCATAGCTATAAAGGCTGCAGAATTATATTATGACATTTCTACACTACAAATCACTAAACAAATAAGTGTATCTTCAGTTGTTATTGTACCGTGACATTCAATGTTCAACAATAGCTAAGAAATCACAAATGCTATTTCAGTCATTTTCAATTATATGACCATTACTTGCTTGTGTTCAATTTTTATTTCACAAGGAATAAGATAAATAGGCTAAGGCCAAATTAAAAACAGCTTTTATGACAAAACATTAAATTGGCATGCAACAACAAACCCGAGCCATTTTACATCATGCCTAATTCCACAGCTACAAAACAAATACTACTTAAAATAAGAATATAGCCACACAAAGAAAACAAAAAATGAGCCAGACATAACAGAGCATTAAGAAAACAAAAGATCTTTAGTATACAGCTGTAGTGCACAATTTTTTTTGAAAATGTCAAAACTATTTGATCAAAAAGGGCTAGATTTATCATTTTTTCTTTTTCTAGCTAGCTGTCAGAATACCAGTGAAGATAACTGCAGAAAAAATGGGGACCTCTGCCATCACAACACTAGAAGATGTAAAAAAGCAAGAGGAGAATGAAGAAAAAGAAGAATCTATTTTAGCCATGTTGGGGATAATTGGAACAGTGCTCAATCTCTTTGTGATTGTTTTTGTGTATGTCTACACTACACTTTGATGACATTTTCCAGCATCAATTGTACAGTATACAGTGTGAAGACCTGAGATGGCAAGAATGATTTCTAAATGCAAAGCAATAGGAAACACTGCCTCAAAAGATTATCAAACACATTCCAGAGCAAAGTATCTGGCTAAGGGTACTGCATCAATGACTGTGAAATGCATCAGTAAGCCCAGTTAGGAGAACTAAATTATGTAAATGCAGACTGACAATATTAAACTTCTCATTCATGAAGGATGAAGCTCGAACACTGGAAATACAGATAGTATTGTTTTATTACCAATGAACATTCAGGAAACAATCAGTGTAAACAAATTAAAATCCAGAGGACAATCGCACCATAGAAGTCTTCATGAAGAATGCAGATTACATATATATTTTATTTATTTCAATCCCATGCTTTCTATAGATTTGTGATGATACACCTCTGTATAGGTAAGACCAGAAAACAAAAAGTCAAGTAGGGTTTTTATTTTAAAAGCACCATTGTATGTTAAGATTTATACCAATGTATAATGAGTGTGGGGGGAAAAAGCACTGTTATACCAAAAGTACCGTAAAATTATAAATAAAATTTTAACTATTGACTAAATTCTTCAACTTTTGTTATAATGTTTAGTATTTTCTTTTAAGATTTATTAGAAGAATGATAGCAATACACATTACTAGATTTTTCCCTCCACAGTGTCATTTTGAGAATGTGTGTGACATGAACAAAATCACTTTTGGCATTTTTATATTGATGCTTAGTTTAAAATAAAATAAAAAGCATCATCACACAAGGGTAAAGAATTAACAATTAATTGAACATTTCTTACTAGCTGGATACGGACAGATTTCTAAACCGTTTGCTCTAAAGCCTCACGATCAAATTTAATGGGTTTGTGCAGAGTTCCGGTGTTCACTGTGTTGTACAGAGGAAGACTTAATCCTTGCCTTGAGGCGTTTACTACCTAAGGCCCGGATCCCACACGGATCTTCGACTTTTTATACCACAGATATTTAATTGTACGGTTTATTATTTAGGCCCAATATTACACATATGCTTAACTTTTAAGTATGTGACCAGTCCCACTGAAATCCATGGAACTTGCACACATTTAAAGGTATGCATGTGTGTGAATCTTTGAAGGACTGGCTCTAAATCTAAGTTCAAACATATGTACACTTTTATATAAGTACACATACACACATTTTCCTATTCCATAAAGAAAACTACTTTGAGAACATTAAAGGTACAAGGTTAAGCATTCAAGGTGGGAAATGTGAAAGCTACAAGGGACACAGCACAATTAACTTTTGTTTTTATATAAAAGAGAAGTGAGATTTTAATCACCTAGTATTGCTAAAAATACCCCTGAAAATTACTACCTTCCAGGAGAAAGGGGGACAAGGAAGTAATTGTGTCTCTGACAGTGACGAGCACAATTTCTTTCCCGGGCTACTCTGGGGCAGTTTTGCAACATCCCATTCCTTATTCAAGGCTATCTGTAAATTGACAATCTAGTGCTTTTAGATAATCTACTACTGTGTACTATACTCTGTGGTGAGAAAGAAACAGAGCCCATGAAAGCCATTTAGAAATAAAATGTTCAGCAAATAAAGTAAGGACTCCACAATATCCACAGTGAATTAGGCAAAGGCTTCTGCATCTTTTCTCCAGCATATTAAACCATGAGATATTATATATTATTTATTTGAGAAGGATTTGGGGGGGGGGGGGGAAGATGTTAAATTCTCGTTTTTACTATTTTGAGCTTGATGTAAAGGGATGTCAAAAAAGTAAACAGAAATGAGACTACACTGGGGGTAGATATATCAGAGGTAGAGAAAAGATTTAGGTGTCATCCACATAGTACAGAAAATATTTAATCTTATGACATCACCATAGATATAGGAAGTAATATACTGTTTGGTAAAAAAATAACTGGAATCCACAAAGTATGTGTATGTGAAGAATAATATCAACATATTCATGCTGATTGAAGAAACTGTAGCATAGATTGGGATTTTTCTGAATATTTATAGTATTTACATATTGCACCACTGATTAACTTTATTTATAAAATTATCCTTTGGGTGAAGTTTTGGGAGAAATTACTCATACTCACATCAAAGATTAATGTAGTAATCTTGTTAAGCATTCTCTGCCTTAAGGAAATAGTTCAGATATATTTTAGTGTTTGTACAATGCAAAGTAAAATGCAGGGGGTAGCAGGATGCTGTTTTGATTCAATAGACAGCACTCTATCCTTTGAAATATTATTGAACCAGTGCACCAATATGATATTGATGCGCTGTGCTGTCATTTTTACATTTCAGATAAGTCTGCTTTCCCAAGGCTATGACCAACTATGGTAAAGATCCCATGGCACCATTTATAAGAGTGAGGATGTTAATGCTGGTGTCCTGGTAAAATTCTTCATTTGTGTAATTACATTCTCTCTCAGTTCCCACTGCAGTTTCAGTTTACACAACGTTTTTTCACCGGCTGCCCTAAGTTATAAAGTACCATCACTGTAGGACAGTGACCCCAGTCTTATAAATTTTGTTTTAAGAAAAAGTCTATCAACTGCACCAGAGAACTATTGAACTCAACATGCCCATCTGAGACCACAGAGGCAGTTCACTAGGCAAAGAGTTTTGGAGACATAGATGCACAAACTTCAATAGATTGTTTAGAGTTTAAGCACTGGAAACTATCAAATATATTTGTGTACAGATCTCTAAAGTCAAGTGTGAAGACCAACCACCACTCAGGAACTTAGGGTAGGTTTTGATAGTTCTAATGCCAATTAGCTTCTATGTTCAGATCACCAACACTCACACACTTCCCCCACTGTCAGCTGCGGAATAAGACCCAGAACAAGTAAGACACTGTCTCCTCCAAGGGGAGAAGGAATTCTTGTTAGAAGACATTCATAAGGAGTCTCTTCTTCAGGTAAAGAAAGCCAAGGAAGACAGTAGTGCCATGTCATCAGAAGCTGTGCTGACCACAAACTTCCCCCTCACTGAGTTCTGTGGATCTGAAACTAATGTGCAAGGAAGAAAGCAGAAAGGAAAAGCTGCCTGAAAAACACAAGGGTCCCAAGACTTTCCAGCAGCCAGCATTATGTCAGCTTCTTCTAGTAAACACAAAGACAGAATATTGTAGCTTGTGATGCAGTTACCAGCCTTTATTATAAAGGGAGACAGAGGCACCCAAACTCTTCCCCTTGTGGGCTCAGACCGGTGTAGTCAGCCTACAGTTCTCCAGACTGGTAGATCTACTGTGTTGTGTATGAGAACCAATTCACAGAGAAACCAGTACTGCTAAATTTAATTTTAAAAGTATTTTTAAACAGTGGTAATTTTTGGTAGAGCTTTCCTGTCTCAGTCCCATTGTGCTATGCACTGTATAAATACGTAACAAAAGACAGCTCATTTTCTTTTCCTTTCCTTTCTGTCTTCTGTTCCCTTACTCCACTGATTCTACATAGACTCTGAGCTGCTTGGACTAAAAGGGATAATCGCTTTCTCTCTCTTTTCTGCCTTCCCTTACCTAACCTAAAAATTTTGGTTGGTACTATTTATTTCTTCACACATCTCAGAGGTCCTCTGGATCAAATAAAATACCTTTACTATTTAAATATAAAATATAAGAAACACTCAACCAGATGATGACTCTCACAAGAACTAGATGGTGACTCAAACTAGTTGCCATTCACAGCTGAGAACTACTGATGTAACAAACAAACTGTTTCACTGCAGATGTGGCTGCATTTCATCAGTAGATGAAGTCACTCCTGTATTTGAAAAATGATTAGGGTTGATCTTTCTGGATGAAAGGTTCTATGTAAAAATTATGAAACAACAGTAAAAAAACTTCACTTGAAACTACAAAGATGAGATATACCTAAGTCCTCATTAAGAAAAACATGTTCTGTTAGGTTTTTAAAAACATAAGAAAAAGTTATCAAATGAAAATAGCAGAATACAAATGTTAATGTGTATCGTGTTCTAATTCAGACATGAACAAGACATACGTATATTAAAATCTCATCATGCACTGAAGTGATGAGCTTCCTTCAATATTCTTTTATAAAAATATTAATTGTAAATGCCATGGTACTTCTACACAAAGAATACAAATATAAATAAAAGTCGCTCAGAGTAATAGTTCAGTAGTATTGTAACTCTGACCCTTATGAATAATGTCTGAATACCTTCGCCCTGTTCATGAAGGACTTTTCCTTCTCTGTATTACAGGGAAAAACGCAATTAGGGAAATTAATGAAAAGTGTCCAATTTACAATTTCAAGGATATCTGGATCACTTTGCTCCTCCCCAGAAAATGATGCAGGACATGACTGAGTGATCTGCTTGGGTTGCAAAGACCTGTTTCAAGATGAGGTTTCTAAATGATTAAGTGATATTTAAGTGGTCATCTGCTTATTTATTAAACATTTCACTTTTATCGGGAACACGTGATCTTCTGCGATATAGATTTTTTTAATTTTTTTTTTTTAAGAGCCAGTTAATCTAGAATGAACCTGCCAGAACATATTTAAACCTCAGGAAAACTTAAGATAAATTTCTAGTTGAAAGAGTTGTCATTAAATCAATACCACATGCAGCTTAATATTTGGGTATTTCACAAACAGAGGTGCCTATTAACAAGCTTTGCCAAAAAGAGACTTTACAGGCAAGACACATGCGGTACTTGTAGCTAACTGTGCTTAAGATGAGTCTACAAATAAAACATAAAATTGCAGTCATCACCAAAACACTGAAAGACTATTCTAACATCATAACAGCAGCAGCAACCTATATAATATTAATTGTAGAGGGAGCAATAGCAACTCTATATTTTCCATTATAAAAAAACCTTCCCATTATTTCCCCCTCCCCCCACCTTTTTGAAAAAGATCTCTGGATTCACCATGGTTTGCAGCAGTGGGAGAGTCCTGAGGTAAAGGTAAGCGTTGGCTGACCCCATGGCCATTCCTTCTGCTGTGGGTAAGTTATGGAGCTGCTGAAAACTGCTATTTTCTGGTAGTGTGTTGCTCAATACAACTTATTCCTGGGTGGATGTGAAAACCCCTGAACATTTTATGTGTGATTTCTAGTGTGACTAGAAGAAAGGACTTGAATTCATGGTCTCCTGGCTTCTAATCCAAACTGAGAAACTAGGGCACATGGAGCGCCCTAGTTTCTCAGTTTGGATTAGAAGCCAGGAGACCATGAATTCAAGTCCTTTCTTCTAGTCACACTGACTGGTGTTAATACTTTTGTGCCCTTTACAAACCTTATTGGATAAGGTATCTTACCCCACTGAGAGGTTACACAAGCTTGGAATAAAACCAAGATCTCTAACAGGGCGGATTCAAGTCTCATCTATTTAGATTTGGCAGATTATTTCTGAGGGGCAGTGCTGTTGAGTATGCCGCTGTCTTGTCTGTAAAATGGGGCTACTCAAACATATATAATACACTCAGTGTATTATGCATGTTTCTCTATTCACATGTCTACAAAGGATAACAGTCTACTTGCGCTCCCTACTAGGGCAATTCACCTTTTAGGTCAAGTGCTAGTGTTTGTGTTGCAGAGACT